CACTGACTAATGCAACATGGGATAGAAGGGAAGTCTGCCTACAGAGCACGCTGGCAAGTAAAATAAGTTAAATTCCTCCCCTGCTGGTCCCTTTCAAGCAGGGAGCATCATCTACCAGGACAAAGTGGCCACGCATGGCACGAGTTTCTGACTAGACATCTTCCTGAAACTTCAGTCAGGCAATTCTTCCTTCTAGTTTTCTACCTCACAAGTAGAAAGGAGTGAGTAAGAATGGCTGGGATCCTTCTCTGCCTGCAGAATACAAATCCCTCTAGCCACATGTTCTCCTGTGTTATTTTGGCATATAATTCTCAAAACTCTCAGATGGCAGAACACACATTTGCTTTCCACGAACTCAGTGAACAACACTGCCGGGAGGTTCTCTGGAGATAGTTTTGATTTTATATCTCTAATTTTACACTCTTTTTCTTTGTTACTCCCTTTACAACAGGGACACTAATCCCTCTCCCCCAGGTGTTTACAGCCTTCTCATCTCTGGAACCATCTCAAATAACAGAGAGGGCAACATCAAGGGGTACTAACACAACACCCCTGAGATAAGGATCCCAGATAAGTCTGTACTTGAAACAAGTCTCACAAAGAACAGATGATTAATATAGTAATAGGAGAGAAGCCAAATGGCTCAGGAGGTTGCTTACACCATACCCACACCAACGGGTTTACAATGGGGCCTCCCTGCAGGAAACACAATGGATCAGTCTTCCAGAGGTGCCAACATTACTGCTGCAATTCCAGATGCTGAGAGCTCAGCTCAGCAACTGGAGCATGAGGAGACGGATCTTCAGCAACTGGGCTACAATGTTTGGATCTTCAACAAAGCAATTTCATCAACTCTTTATGTTGGCCAATTACAAGCAGGAGAAAATGACCTCCAGAACACATTCACCAGAAATGTCATCCCCCCAGCCCCATGCCCCTATCCCCCTCCAAAAAAAAAAAAAAGAATTAAAAAAAAAAATAATCCCAGACCAGGCAAATCAAGCTGACAAATCTGAAAAAGAAAGGTTGCTAACAAAAAGGCAGAGTGGTAAATTTCCTCTCTGAAATATATGACAGCACTCTGCTTCAGTGTATGCAGTTTTCATCATACATCTATTTAGGCTAAGATGAATACCCTTATTGAAAATAAATAAATGCAGAAGCAAGCAGACACAAGACACAACTTCTACACTTCTGCCCTGCTGATCTGAATCCATGGCATTTATTTAGCTATAATCCTTCACATAGGAAGTTTATTTACACAGACAGGGATTTCTGGAATTTTGCAGGATTAGTCAATCTACAGCATTCTCAGCACATGAGCTTTAGCATCAAAATTACCCTGCCCAGATATTCAATGCCTAGAATAAATATTTGGGCTGATGAAGCCAGGGTGCTCTGCTTATTTACTCAGAAGCTTAAATATTGCTCTTCTTCATTTAAGAAGCCTAGTTGAAAAGAAAAAACACACAAAATGAACTACGCTCACCCAATCTGCAGTGAGACAACTGTCACTGTCAGCCTGGGTACCCATGCAACAAATCTCACGTCTCACACCTTGGCCTCAGTATAGCAAATGCAGAGGAAACAGCAGCTTCAGCACAAACTGAGTTTTAGCTGCACAGGGCAAATGGGATAAACAACAACCCCCCTCCCAGATCTATTCAAAAGGAAGAGTGAAATAATTGGTGTGAAAGCCATTTGCAGTTGAGTTACACTTTTGAGATGTAAAGAGGCAGTTATGAATGACTGCTTGAAACCAGATCGTGTCCATAGGTTCTACTACAGAGATTTCCAAATGCTCTCGACAGTGCTACACATCAGCTTTCTACCACAATCAGCAAGAAATCTGCACCCATTACCAGTGGAGCTGTGTTAAACTAGTTCCCAAGTTCTAACCCCTGTTCCAAACTGCTCTGTTCTCTATCTGCAGCATGTCAGGTGCCCAATCCAAAGCCCCTTCACTGCCATCAACGTTTGGATAACACAAGGAAGGAACAATAGCTTGACGTTCAAGTCAGGAAGCAAAACTGTTTGATTTCACTGTTTGATACACATAGATTAAAATTAAAAGGAAAAAGGATAAGCAGTTCAATAAAAAGAAAAAAGAGTGTGCGTCAGCAGCAACAGAAGTAGCCAAAGCTAAGAGTTCGAGGATGAGCAGGCAGGCATTACAAGTTTACATTTCAGTCAATTTCTTCAATTTCAATTTCAGAATCAATTTTATTTCAAGGCACAGACATTAAAAGGTTTTCTATTAAGGTATCAGGAAAATAAAGCCCGCATCACAACTGAATTCCTCTGCATAACACCACTCCCTACTGCCAGCTTCCTCTGCTGTGTCGTGCCAACCATGCTCACTGAGGTCTGGTCTTGTTTACTGCACTCTCAAGGTAATTTAGGCAGCAACTTTGGACACCTGGAAGAGGAAGAAGTGTCCTTCCTCCAATCTATGGTTGCTCCACATAGATATAACATTCCTAAGAAGCTCTCAGCCGGCTGCCTTTGAAGCCTGGAGAAAAAGAGGGAAAAAAGGCTCGACCTTGAAAGCTACATTTTTTCCCTTGAAAGAAGTAATCTCCAGGGGCTCTCGAGAAAAATAAAAAGCAAATTCTCCGGATCTTTGTCTCATGCCAGTTTTGAGAGGCTTTTGTTTCTTTGCTCCTGTTGTGGTGGTTTGATTACAGAACTTTCACAGACATCGCGCACCGCAAGCAGCTCCCGGGCCCCCTCACTGTCTGCCCCATTCCCAGACCTGCCCTGCAGCACACAGCCAAGCGTGACACGACAGATTTTATGGCAGGCAGCTTGCAAAGAGGAGTCTGTTGAACGTAAAGCAGTGACCCAAAGTGAATTCCCACCCACACACACGGTCACAGCCAGCTCCCTATATGACAGATGTGCTCTTGACAGAGCTCAGCGCAGCCTTGCGCACCCACAGCTGATGTGGAGCCACACAGTGGCCTCTCACACCCCATGGCTGGAGGTCCCACTATTTCAGAGGACAGCTTATACTTACCCCAAAATTTCCAGTGGTGACCACATTAACTTTAGCATGACAAAAAGGGGCTGCTGCTCCTGTTCTACCTCCCCGTGCGTGCTGCCATGTCCTCAGCATTCCTCTCCTCCTCTCCCAAGCTCAGCTCCTCCTCTGTCAGTCTGCCCTATTAACCTTCTCTACTTCCCACCCACCCAAATTTGCACATTATTAAGCATCCAAAGCCTTTTGTTCAGGGTCCTCAAACAAAAGCGCAGCTATAGCGTTTCCTGGCAAGAGGTGCCTTCCATCCAGCAGTCACTTAGGGCAGCTTTAATAGACTCATTTCTCCCAAACACAAAAAACGGGGCATGCGAGATAGGCGAATTCAAGGACGTGTCCTTTCCTGAATTCCACAGAACAAGATAAGCCTGTGAGCCTTGCACTTATTTTATCTATACTAAGAGGCTTCCTCCATTCTTCCAGCCGGTAGAAAAATAATTATTTACCACCGAGGCACAGAACAGGTTAAAGTTTCCTCTGTCTTGTCTCAACTCCCTTCACAGATTAGGGGAAAACAATGAAGTCTCCGCACTTTGTGATATTGCTAATGCCTCCTGTGGGGATAGCAGCGCCTGCTGTAAAGAGGATTATGATTACAGTTTAAGAGGAGCGTGCACAGCACTGCCGCAAGAGGCACAGCCTTATCAGAAAAGAAACCAAGCTGCCCCCAAACTATGCATGCGGGACTCCCACCCACCTTCAGCTCTGGTTGCTGGCTCTGTCTCAGATCACACACCCGCTTATCAGGGGAGATAGAGAGGCAGCTGAGCTTGCAGGGAGCATGGAAAAGACTAGGGGGATAAATGAGTAACACTGTGCAAACAGCTTGCACACATTCACCATCAGAACATGCAGCAGTGTTTACAGATCACCCAACCACATTCACTGGGATCACAACACAGACACGCCAGAGCACAGCGCACGTTGCATGTTCCTGGCCACAGTTAGGAAATCCTGAAGGAAAAACTGCTGATGGAGCTATGCTAGCTGTGGTGACATTGGCTGGGTTAACACAGGCAAGACTGCAAATACAGAAAAGCAGAGCATCATCCACTAGATCTGCTCTGAGCACTTAGCTTTGAGGTGCAGCTTCACGTGCTGGTGAGGTCTCTGGCAGACCTCTCAGTCTTACACAGAGCTGACTCCACTGGAGAGAGAATAATGAATTGCCACTGAGTATTTGTAAGATCCATCAGTCTGGACTCTCAAAGGTACCATCAGCAAGTCAGCTTACTCACACCCATCCATCTCTACCAGCTACTACAGAACACACACAGCACAATTTCCTTTTTTGTAACACAAAGAGCGTCAGCCAAAATAGTCATCACAAATTCTTTGACTTCAAGAGACACTCAGACTAGCAGAAGGACACACCGCTGGCTAATGCCCATGTCAACACTAAGAGGACTCAGCCTCATGCTGGCTGAAGTCTCACATTCTGGGTCAGAAATATCCTGCTTATGTGAGAGGGTTTTTGTTTGCTTGTTTTTAAATCACTGTCACCATGCTCATTTTTCTCCAAGATTTTACAGAGAGATTCCTCCTCATCCCTAGTTCTGCTCAGAGGGGTATAATGGCCCCTATCTGCTTACTAGAGGCTAGGACTGAGAGCTACGGTATTAATGCATGCACTCCTGAGTTTTCACAGGTTTAGAAATCACAGCTTCATTCGCCCCAGGGCTCGGCTCTGTCTCATTACACACTGTTGTTCTAAGCAGTCCTTGCCACCTCGCAGCACACACCAGAAAAGCCATAGACCAAACCCTCCAACCGTTCATATTACTGAACAAAGCAATAGTTTTAAGATGCTCAAAAGGCTCTTCCCTGAACTGTGACATGACTTAAATCAAGCCGTTTGGGTCCTGCAGAGGGCTAAGGTCTCCTAGAGACAGTTGGATGCTTTTAATTAGCCAAAACAAACCTTCTTGTGCTGGGACAGCTCATGCAGCTCTCTACTAACCTTCACTGCTGGGTGCCAGGCTCCTCTGGGTTCCCTCTTTACCCGCTTTTCCTTCCCATTAATCTCTGTGGAAGAGAAAAAGAAAAAGAGCTGAAAGAGAGAAGATTAGGCTGGATTATAGTTCTAAAAACAGAGCACTTACTAAAACAGCAACTTTACCATTAACCTGCCTTCAACAAACTTGTGCTTTTGGGGGGATTTGTGAACCACTATATAGATCTGAATTTAAACTGACACTTTCACATTCTCTGAAATGAATGGGAACTGGGGTGTTCACAGCAGTAGACTAAGTCACTGTCTTTCAAATTTTAATCAAGTCATCATGTGGGCCTTCACCCTTGGGAAAGCAGAACTTCAGTGCCTTTCTCAATATCACATCCAATGACGATAAAGTGACACAGCAAACTGAAGAATCCTCAGAAGAAATGTCCTTCCTTATGGCCGATGCTTTAAAGATTGATTGTTTTAAGAGGAGGATTTGATAGTAGGTTTGGCACAAGGTGGTGGTGAGAGAAAAGGCAAGGAGGAATAACAAAAAGCAACAAAATAAAATGAAATCCATCAAGGTAGGGGTTGAATGAGCGGACATAAGAAAAAAAAAAACACAAAACAGAAGACAGGTTTTGATAAAGGTGCCTATTCACCATCACCTCTGCAGATAAGTCATTTTCATTTGGGCATCAAAGATACTGAACTGTATCAGCAGTGTCAGGACAAGCTTTACACTCAAATCAAAACATCTCTGCTTCTTCCAGCCTCAGTGGCCTAACAGAAACCTCAACTGACAGTGCCACACAGCATCATTTTATAGAGGCCTTTGACACCTTCTGCAAAGGGAATACATTCACAGAAAGAACAGTTGGCTTAAAACAGAGGAAAAGCAGTGAGAGCAAGCACATCGTCTTCCAGGCTACCATAAACAACAGTACAGATGGAACATTTTGCAAAAGACAGCTGTCACAGTTTGGGCAGAATCAGACAAAACTGCTAGCCAAGAGAAGGCTGGAAGGGGGCAATCAAAAGCAGATATACAAGAACACCCCAAGTTGCAGGAGGTCTACAAGGACCACTGAGTGTAACTCCTGGCTCCGCACAGGACCACCCTCCATCCTGTTTGAGAACGCAGGACTGAGCCTGCCAAAACACTACCTTAACTGGTATTTACAATTAAATGTTGATTACTTCAATGACTAAATACCTGACTTTCACTCCAGACCAGGCACAAAGAAAACTGCACTGCTGCCACAGTAAACTGAAGCAAGAATTAACCTCAAAACATGCTTTATTTCCAACCTGCTGTCAAATGCAGTGATTCACATGACCTGCCCATACTCACCAACTCATTTCTCACAGGCTGTCTCTGCCATAGCAACAACTGAACCAGACAGGAGAGAACTGACCACAACACACCAGAAGCTCTACACCTCTGCAGACTCTTGAGCTTCCTTACCCAAAAGACATTCTGCACCCTAAACCACATCAAACCAGGTAGTGCTTGCTGCCCTCCATAGACATATCTCACTTTGCCTATGTGGAGACTTTGGTATATCAACTTCCAGAATGCAATTTATTCATAAATATATAATAAATATATAAAAATAAATAAATATATTTTTTAAAAAAATCAATCAGAAGCTCTAATCTCTTACAAAGGGAAACAAAAAAAAAGAGTCAAATACCCATCAGATCTAGAAGCATAGGTGAATAAATTAAATGTCTCCAATTGACACAAGGATGAGAAGAGCATACACTATATTGAAAGGCTCTGGTTAAAGATCTCTTAGTATCAAAATTCAATTTCTTTCAGGTTTTGCAAACAACAGCCTTGGGCTGAATGCTGCCAGCCTGCCTGCAGCCTTTGAGGAGATTAGGTTATTACCAGCCAACTATGAGACTCTTAAATCCAGCATTAATCCTAATTCCCATTTAACCAAATCTTCATTGTGCAGTGAAAGCTGGCTGTGCACACATTTCCACATACATCCTGCCATGTGCAGTGATCTGTGTCGCAAACAACAGATGTTACACCTCATGTATGCTTAAGAAATACATCCTGACTTTTATTTACAGAGAATCCCAGTAAAGAAGAATAGAGCTGGGGGAAAAAAAAAAAAAAAAAAAAAAAAAGCCAAACTGAAATGATTTCTGGGAGACAGTTGGAATGGAATGGCTTATAACCTGAAAGCTTTCGGCAGCCAGTAACTGGAGATGTCAGCCCTGGCTTGGAAGAAAGCACCAAATCACAAGGGTATGGAGGTATATGCAACCCTGATCTCATAACAATGCAGTGGTGCTGTGTGTCAAATCATCTACTCCAAATGCCTAAAATCAAACTATAATCATAACTTGCAAATGCAAGACCACCTTAGACTCTTTTCTACACCACTTTATTCCAATTTCCTTCTAAAACACTCTTACGATCACTAAACTGTACATGGCTCCATGTTGCCAAGGTTTGCTGAACTGCCTGTGGGTGAGACATTCTGCTTGTTCTGCTACTCCTGGGCAAGGTACTGACGCAAGAGACGAAGAAACCGTAGATTAGGACCAACTGCTGCTTGGTCTATTACTAGCAGGACAATTTTAGTCCTGTTAGAAGTTAACACAGTTATTTCTGGAAGGTGAAAACCGCAATAATGTTTCCTGTTTTTGAAGCTCGGGAATTGACTGGAGATAGAGTCCTGCAGGCCAGCACACTCCCAGGAGAAGAAAGACGTGTTTGGCAACAGTACCTGTTACAGGCAGTAGGTCCTCCTACTGGAAGAGGAGGCCGTAGTTGTTGGAAATGGCAAACTACTATTTCCATCAATTCCAAACTCAGCATGTTGACCACTTCCTCCCAGCCCCCTTATCCCCCCTCCCCCAAACAAATGAAAAAAAAAACAATACAAAAAAACACCGAACCAAATAGTATGAGGTTTAGGGGCAGGCCATACCTATCCCTTAATCAACAGGCCACACAAACAGAGGCTGCAGCAGAGCTGTGGTACAGTGCAATAACAGCCATCCACACAACAACCAAGCTGCGGTAGCTCCCCAAGTGCACGTTCCTGGCCCACAGCTAATAGGAGCCCATTCACTTTACTGGGATAGAGTTCAGCTGAATTACATTACCTTGCATTTGCCATGGGTGAAGACCACACATGGACAACAATCACAGCTCATCTAACAGCTGGTAATTTGACTGAGTGCCTGGCTTTTGGAACACTGCAAACTGGTTCATAACTCTTTTTTGCCTAACTTCAAGGCAAAATTTGAACTAAGGACTTTCCCAGAAGGTAGCCTATCCATCCTGCTGGTGCTTATCCTGGGTATTCTTCAGTCAGTCTGCAAATAGGAATTAATGGAATTGTTGGAAAGAATGACTGCTCTAACAACTACAGAGATCTCTCTGAGCAGAATAGCTCCAATATGCCAACCCATTATTCCTTTGACACAAAATCACAGATTTGTCCAGGTGAGAAAATAGGGAAGCTTTCTCAGCCTCCTCAGTGATGAGCTGGATCCAAGATCCTTCTCACCTCAGAAAAAGACCAGTACACGCAAACAGGGCCATCAGCTACAAACCAGTAGAGATGACTTGCAGGTTTTAGATTGTGTTTTCTGATAATCAGCGTTTCGGCACTCCTTCTTTCTGCATTCAGTCATCAGCAGGGAAAACTGGGGCTTTTAAATTACGCAGGCAATTAAAAAAGGAAGAAGTCAGACATTCCCATTTTATTCTGCACAATAATTACTCTCCCAAGGCAACTGTAAATAAAACAAACACCTGCACTGTTTTCTATCATAGAGAAGGTAACCCATTCCCATGCAAGAAGCACCCTCCACAGCTCATGGCTGCAGGACCCCTTTTTGGGCAGCCCAGGAGCCTGCTTCTCAAGTTCATCCAAAAGCCCAGCTCTGAATGATGGGCACCTTCAGAAATGGTAGAGGATTTTGTTTTGCATTTGTGCTTAGTATTTAATCTGCAGATTAACTGCATACTTAATCACGGAAGTGAGGCTGATATGTCACACACATACAGTCCTCTAAGCCCTACTTTTCCTACTGCCAATAACGTCATCTATTAGTATGGAAGAAGGGGTTGTAATGAGTGGGAAAATGCAACTCAAGATCCACTCTCCTTGCACATGCAAAGCCAACTACAGAAACAATAGAAACAACCTATTTATGCACACAGTCTCATATTTTCAACATAAACCAACATACACTTTGTGCAAAAAAATAAGTAACTTTATGTTGAAAAAAGTAATGAGATTTTCCCAATAGAACACTAACATTTCAGAGGAAATCATTTATTATTGGAAGGTACTGTTCAGAGTACCTAAAGCTGCCGAACGTGAAATGTAAGAAACAGAGAGATGAGCCCAATGGAAACAATCTTTAAGCATAAATGGCAAGCAGACTGTAACTGTCCATGCTGGGAAAAATACAAAGCACAGGGAATTAGAGAACAAATCTACTCCCTCTCACAAATACATATATACACACACCCAATGTGTTAAAAATCATACAGGAAATTATGGTCAACAAACAGGTTGGATTTCAAAAGCGTCCCATTCCTAGCACACTACACAATAGCTTTGTCTTTATATCATTTAGAACAACCCCTTATGCTGATTTCCCCAGCTTGAGATGCCTCAAGCAAAGCAATACCTCACGATACCCTTTCTGAAAGGGAAAGAAGCATATTCCAGCCTTTCTCCGCTACCCAGTCCATTTACCTTTGGCTTGCTTCGTCTGCTCTCCTGGTTCTGTCCCTGAAGGACACCCCTGCAGCAAGCCCTCCTCTACTGCCTGCCCCTGCTCCTGCCCTAGTGTGCGCTGGCAGTCACACTCCTCTAGGTAACAAATTCAAGAGGGAAGGCGCTGCTACTTTGAAGCTGTGAAATAATTGGGCAGAGAGCTAATATTAGAAGAAAGAATGCCTTAAAAACAAAACAAACACACACACTGAAAGTTCACTGAAACCTCAATGTCTCAGCCTTAACGGCGAGGATGTCCCTGCAGCTCAGTGATTCAGGCACTTCTAGGGGCTGAAATTATCTGGTCAGGCCTGATTAAA